GAGGGGGGGTCCCCGACAACGCTCTACACTGAATTCGGAAACTTCTCGATTACGCTTTACGATAAATTCCAAGTGGCCACAACGCATTACGTAGAATTAAAAAGGCGAATACGCTCTACGCAAAATGCGCCGAGCGGTCCGTCTACGCTCTACGTAGAATTAAAATGGCCGATTACGCTCTACGGAAAAGGGCTTCGGGCCCCCCTTTGTGCACCCAAAGTTGGAGCTGTGCAACCAACTTTTTTCTGTGGGTGCACCCAAATATTTTCGTAGGTTTACGTATGTAAAGATGTTAAATATACAATAGTATACAGCATATTCTTTAGATTTAAGTGTCAGAAAAGTAATAAAATCCATATTGACCTGACCCATGGAAGAGGTCCTGCATGCCTTTTTCCGTAAGGCGTAATCAGGCCTTTTTAGCCTTCGTAATCCGTAGTCAGCCTCCCCAAAATCATCGTAATTCGTAATCAGTTACTGTGCATTGTCCGTAATGCGTTTAATTGGTCGTTTTTTTATTCTATGTAAAGCGTAGGCAGTTACCTTTCTGAAACGTATTAAAAACGTAATTCATAAGGATGATTTAATGTAATTCTGATGACGTAATTCGTAATTGGCGGTGAAAATTTGGAGTAATTGGCAATCACTACAACCCCACCCCCCATGCAAGCCCTCATCTGCCACTGGTCTACCAGGGCAGGGCTGGAAATACTGGGTGCATGTGCACCTTAGTGCACCCAAATTTGGAGCTGTGCACCCAATTTTTTGCTCAGGGTGCACCAGTGCACCCAAATATTTTTGTAGGTTTACATACATAAAGCTGTAATTAATAAATAGACACTAGTAGTATACAGCATGTTGTTAACATCTAAGTGTTAGAAAAATAATAAAATCATTCTTTTAGTATTTTTCTTTAGTAATTAAACATGATTAGTTTTTTCTGACATTCTACATATTTTATTTCATATGGTGCACCCACAGAAAATTTTGTGCACCCATTTTTTTAGGTTGGGTGCACCAGTGCTCCTATTGCCAAAAATGAATTTCGAGCCCTGCAGGGGCTCAGTGCTCAAACACAGCTGACTCAGAGAATCCAACATGTGGTTCCCATACTGATATATACTGATCTGACCCATGGAGACTTCAGCCAACCCTGTTTTCCAAACAGGCCACTCCTGGTAAGTAGGACTAGTCAATCATGCCTGCTTACTAGTGTTCTAGCGGCCTGAAATTTTTTTGGGGGCATCTCAATTTGGTTTGACAAAAATTTCATGGAAATTTTTTTTAATTTTCACCTTCTAAAACACTAGTTCCTTTTGAGGGGCAAATTTTGCTGGTAGACTAAGCTCAGTTTAATAACATTTCTTTTCGATATCTTTGCACATCAATTTTGCCTTTCAAGGATGAGGGAATGGGCAAAAAATGTTATGAAAGGCAAATTCTGTCCAATGACAGAAAGAGGGGCCACAGCTGATGTGGAGAATCCAACATGTGGTTCCCATACTGACCTGTCTGACCCATGAAGACTTCTGTTTTCCAAACAGGCCACTCCTGGTAAGTAGTTGCTGGTTAAACACGCCTGCTATATTACATACAGTGAAGACTTCTGTAGCCTGGATGCCAGACTCCACGCAACAAAATACTGTCATCACCCACGGTGAATAGACTGGATATTACATTTTATAATACATGGAATGCCACCCATACATGTATAACTACAAGGCCATTAGGCACATGGCTTCATTACATTGAATGAGTTGTTACACCTAACCCCTGAATATCTAACTCTAAACATTGATTAAAGCTATCTAATGATAATGCCCCAGGCCTATACTGTACTTGGTGACAGCGAGTTCCACTCTGCGATAGTTATAGGAAAGAACAAGCTTTTGAACACCTCAATCCTTGGTTGAGATGTCGATGAGATACCTGGGAGCCTACGATGTCTGGTTGCCAGGCTAAGCTCCCCTAACCCAGCCCAGCCTACGATGTCTGGCTGCCAGGCTAAGCTCCCCTAACCCAGCCCAGCCTACGATGTCTGGTTGCCAGGCTAACTCCTCTAACCCAGCCCAGCCTACGATGTCTGGTTGCCAGGCTAAGCTCCTCTAACCCAGCCCAGCCTACGATGTCTGGCTGCCAGGCTAAGCTCCTCTAACCCAGCCCAGCCTACGATGTCTGGTTGCCAGGCTAAGCTCCTCTAACCCAGCCCAGCCTACGCTGTCTGGCTGCCAGGCTAAGCTCCCCTAACCCAGCCTAGGCTACGATGTCTGGTTGCCAGGCTAACTCCTTTAACCCAGCCCAGCCTACGATGTCTGGTTGCCAGGCTAAGCTCCCCTAACCCAGCCCAGCCTACGATGTCTGGTTGCCAGGCTAAGCTCCTCTAACCCAGCCCAGGCGACTGTACTTGTGCAGTGACCATGACTGATGATATTGACCAGGGGCAGAGCCTGGGTTTAAGAAAGTGATCCCACTTCCTCCGGGATCACCCACGGCTCCTTCACTTCAAAGCCTTTCTGGGCGCCTTGAAAAGGTGTCCGTTCCACCGGTGCTGACATTGAAACTGAGCCCAAATGTTCAAAAGTCGAGAGATTGGCGAAATTTGACGAACTGCGTGTCAAGAGTCAACTCCTGTTCTCAGATGTGTTTAACAATAAATAGTACACAGTATCGAGGTCACCGGGAAGTTGCACAATTACACGTTTATTACATAAGGCCGAATGAACCTGATTCTGTGGATGGCATCCGCTGCAAACTCAAAATATGAATGCAAGAATTTGAATCTAGGTAGCCCAGTGTGCTACCTGAATGCTCTCCCCCCCAAAATCATGCCCACTTGCTTGTACCACTGTAGCCTGCATATGCTTTTTAATTTTAGATATTCATGGCTATTACTAGTATCAATTAACTAAAGGCTGTTAGAAATATTGTCAAAAGCTTATGTATGTAACATTACTTAATTTGAGGAAAGTAGTAACTTATTGGTAGTGGGGCAACCTAAAATTCTGATGGGCATTACCTAATTTTTGCCGTAGGTTGCCCACTGGGCAACCTGGTTCAAAAAAGTATTTTGTACACTGGTGAAGTTTTTACTCACTTGGCAGGTAATTTCTTCATCTCCCTCAGCAGAGTGATGGCTGCCTGCACCATTACAATGGGAGTGGTCACGTAGCCGGCCTCTGGAACAGGAGAGAGCAGTCTGACATCAATGGACCTATCACATTATTACATCACAGTTTGTTTACCTGTTCTAAAGAAAACAGTAGGATCATCACAATCAAACATCATAACAGTTCTACTAGTATTTTTCAAATATTAAGTAACATTAGGCCACACCAATTTAATTTGTTGTTTCTTGGATTTTTTCAGAAAAAATTGAAGCGACAGGGAAAACAAAACAGGCCAAGGCACCCCATGAAGGCCAGAAATGTTACGATATGAGCCATGAAGTCAACATACCAGGCAGTTCTAACTGTATTTTTTAAATATTTAGCAGCCTCTGGAAAGAGACAGTTCTGACGTCAACTCTACTGGCAGGAGATGTGGCAAACCCCCACAGAGCCATTAGGATGAGCTTACAGAGTCACAAATCACTGTCAAACATAGCCTTAGGCCACACCAATTTAATTTCTTGGTTAACGGATTTTTCTAGAAGAATAATGGAGCGGGCGGGTGAAAAAAATAAAAAATAGAAAAAGGCCTAGGCATCCTATTTAATATGGCCAAAAATGGCACGATAGGAGCCAATGAAGTTAACACACCAGACTGGTTCAAAATTTAAACAATTATAGATTTTTAGCTTTTAATAAATACCTTTGCATTGAAAGATGGAATAACTGTAACAACTAGGAAGAAAAGGACTGTTTTCAACTGTTCAGGGCAAAATATGAGCATTTTGCACTTGATTCTGAAATTTTATTTTTATTTTCAAATCAGAAAAAAATGAAGCGGGCGAATCCGTTAACCAAGAAATTAAATTGGTGTGGCCTTACCTCTATATTCAAAAATATTTAACGTTCTGAGTTTCTGATGCCAATGCCACTGGCGAAAGATGTGATACATGTACATGTACATGTAAATCCCCAAAGAGCCATTACGACCAGCTTACACAGCCACAAATCACTGTTGAACACCATGTGTGATCATCACAGTCAAACATAACGACAGTTCTTACTGTATTCGAAAAATATTTGGTTAAGCTAAGAAAGAGAGAAAGCCTCTTGAAGGAGACCGTTCTGAGTTTCTGACGTCAATTCTACTGGAAGAAGATGTGACAAACCCCTACACAGTCATTTAGCTTAGAACTGGCTTAGAGAGCAACAAATCACAGTCGAATGAGGGCCTGCAAGGGGGGGGGGGTCCCGACAACGCTCTACGCTGAATTCGGAAACCCTCAAATACGCTTTACGATAAATTCCAAGTGGCTACAACGCATTACATAGAATTAAAACAGCGAATACGCTCTACGCAAAATGCGAAGAGCGGTCCGTCTACGCTCTACGTAGAATTAAAACGGCTGATTACGCTCTACGGAAAAGGGCTTGCGGGCCCCCTTGAATTCCACATGGGATCGTCGCAATCAGACATTATGGGTTTATCTGTATTTCTACGAATATTTAGTAGCTACGAAAGAGAGAATCTAAAACTTCCTCTGGCAAGAGAGAGTACTGACGTCAATTCTACTGGCAGGAGGCTTGACAAAATCGCAATGGAGTCGTTAAGACTAGCTTACAGATGCACAAATCACCGCTGGTACACTACCAGGGGTTTTTCTAAACCGGGGAATAAGGGCGCTGCTCCCTCAGGTCAATTTTCAGATTGAACCCCTAAGTGGCTACTAGTACACAACATTAAGTCTTTCTCAAATGATCTTTTTCCAGTGAAAATATAAAACAAAACATCATAACAATCAATCTCTTATGCATTCTAGCATTACAAACTGGGTTACTCTTGTAAAAATTTGCTTCGCTCCCTCACCATGCTAGACTAAGTGATCTTCTCCTTCATGCTAATTTTTTTTTAGAAAAACCCTTGACTACGTAGCATCATAACAATCAAACACAACAACCATTCTAACTGTATTTTTTATTATTTAGTAGCTACGAAATAGGCTCTTAAAAGCCTTTAGTTACATTTTTCTGTAACAGATAGACGAAAAAGATTATTAGGATCATCGTGATGCCATATGTCAGTTTTGCTGTCAACTTGCATCCTAACAATCAAACACAACGGTTTTAAATGTATGTTAGATTTAAATTTAGTGACTAGGGATTAGACTATTAACAGCGTTTAGTTTTATTTAATATCTGAAACAGATAGAGGAAAAAGATTATTAGGATCATCGTGATGCCATATGTCAGTTTTCCTGTCAACTTGCATCCTAACAATCAAACACAACGGTTCTAAATTTTTAGATTTAAATTTAGTGACTAGGGATTAGACTATTAACAGCGTTTAGTTTTATTTGTCTGAAACAGATAGAGGAAAAAGATTATTAGGATCATCGTGATGCTATATGTCAGATTTACTGTCAACTTGTCAGCCTGGCACCCCGGATACAAGATGCATGTCCCCTCGCTTGGAAAACCTCATCTTATTCCCATTCCTGGAGCAGCCCTGTGCGCGGAAAATTGAACATAAGTCATTTTGCGCGGCGGGTGTATTGGAGGGTGAGCCTGCGGCAGTCACACCTGACTCAGATGGGTCCCCTCTATGCATCATCCTGCCACTGTACATAACTCACACACGCAGGAACAGGTGGCAAATATTAACTGGCAGCAGTGAAGCTCACACTGTGGGCTATATAGGGAACCGTGCTTCACACACAAGCCAGGGAACCATGTTTCACACACAAGCCAGGGAACCATGTTTCACACATACAAGCTCACACTGAACCAAGCTCACACCCGCTGGAACAGGTGGAAAATATTAACTGGCACCAGCAAAGCTCACACTGTGGGCTATATTATAGGGAACCATGTTTCACACACAAGCCATGCAAGGAACCATGTTTCACACACAAGCCAGGGAACCATGTTTCACACACAAGCCAGGGAACCATGTTTCACACACAAGCCAGGGAACCATGTTTCACACACAAGCCAGAGAACCATGTTTCACACACAAGCCAGGGAACCATGTTTCACACACAAGCCAGGGAACCACGTTTCACACACAAGCCAGGGAACCACGTTTCAAACACAAGCCAGGGAACCACGTTTCACACACAAGCCAGGGAACCATGTTTCACACACAAGCCAGGGAACCATGTTTCACACACAAGCCAGGGAACCACGTTTCACACACAAGCCAGGGAACCATGTTTCACACACAAGCCAGGGAACCACGTTTCACACACAAGCCAGGGAACCATGTTTCACACACAAGCCAGGGAACCACGTTTCACACACAAGCCAGGGAACCATGTTTCACACACAAGCCAGGGAACCATGTTTCACACATACAAGCTCACACTGTGGGCCAGGGAACCATGTGCATGCCCGTAGCAATGATTTTGAGTGCGGGGGCTCTTCCCACTGCTTGAGGGGACCAGCGAGCGCCAAAGGCGCGAGGTTCCTAAAAATGAACCTTAAAAAATGGCATTTCGTGCATTTTTAAGAGGATTTTTTGCCACCTTTTTGGCAAATCAGAAAATAATGAAGAGGCGAATCCAAGAACCAACAAAATAATCAAATTGCTGTAGCCTAACCAGCACATTGGAAACAGTCATTAGGCCACACCAATTCAATTTGTTGCTTCTCGGCCCCAACGGTTGAAAAAAGTCCTTTTCTTCCTAGTTCTTAAGTTTTCCAATGTAACAATGCAATTTTGTTTCATTAAAAGTTCAAAATCTATTGTTTTAATTATAAACCAGCCTGGTATGTTCACTTCATTGCTAGCTCATATTGTAACATTTCCGGCTATCATGGGGTGCCTTGGCCTGTTTTGTTTTTTTTTCCACCCTGTCGCTCCTGATTTTTTCTGAAAAGATCCAAGAACCAACAAATCAAATTGGTGTAGCCTAACCAGCACATTGGCAACAGTCATTACTGTAGGAATCATGTAGTGAGATGTCTTTATTCTAAATCCTATACAAATTGCACGTTGCCACTTAATAGGCCCGCGGAATCTCTCCACAGATAACATGCTGTAGACGGAAAGGTCACAGAATAATGGACAGAAATCCCCCCATTACTCATGTTTATGACTGTCAGACCATTAAAGGACAACAACCGAATGAACTTTTGCCTATCCACTGGGAGTGAAGACATCATTTTCCAAAAACTACATGTACATGTACATGTACAACTGCTATGCCAGAAACTGACTACTAAATAAATGACACTTCATAGCAGGAAAGGTAAAAATAACTAGAAAGGCAAAGCAAATGCATAATGTTTACCTCAAACACATTCATATACATGTATATGGTGACTGGAGTCTAAATCCCTCCTGCTATGAAATTGCAACATGATGCAACCCAACACTAGTTACCATGGTGACAGACATCTGCCCTGAAATCGCATTGGATGCCTTTAAAACTATTTTTAACTGCAGGGAGGAGAAATGGCCAGGCTCGTGACCCCCAGAGACACCGCAGAGGAGAGACCAGGCAGACTGGCTCCCCGAAATCTCTCATCCTCCCTGCTCAAGTACCATGTAATGAAGGAGGTGCTGCAACAGGTGAGGGCTTAGGGGGCTGTCTTCTGCAGGGCACAGCGCAGTGATAGGGCTTTCCTATGTTAATATATGGGAATTATGTCAAAACAACGTGGTCAACATTCATATACCTGAGTTTTAGGCTTTGAAGAACATACATTGGCAGGGTAGGCCAACCTCTCAAGTCTCCATTCCCAAAAAATGAAAAAATCCTACGTACCTAAACCATGCGAGAATTCTACCCAAACATTGAGAAGTGACCCCTGACCCCTCTGGACAGCTGATGACCGCATGTAAACCTATATCTTCTTCAGCGAGCCAGACAACACATACATGGCTGCAAGTCTGTTTTTTCACCAAAATGAAAATACTACAACCCTTACCTATAACATCCACGTCCAAAACAACAACATTTCCCTAGAAAAAGTCTTCTTTATATACACTCTACATTACATTGCCATCTCTATATACTAAAACTGGGCCCTCTGCACCTGCGCTATATATTACTGACCTTTGCCCT